TGTATTCGGAAATTTTTATTGCAACTAAGAAAATTTCATGAAGGTCATTAAAGTTGTGAGGAACACTTATAGGTTAAAATTCAAAAATAAATCATTTTGCAGAATTTTAGAAGTAAATGTCCGATTCCTTAAAACGCCGTAACGTTTTGGATCTATTTTGCTAACAATAAAACGACAAAGCATACGATATTAATAATAAATAACTAAAAAATTGTAAAATGTATTGTAGTCGAACATGTCGCTATAGTGAGACTAAAATATTAATATTTACTATGCATACAAGACGCGTTGTTTCGCCAAGCAAAATCATCATTTAAGCAATGAAAAGGAAAAGGAGTATATTAATATGAGAGATATAGAATTTTTCGGAAACTTTCTGCGTCAACTTTTCAATTAAATTAGTAAAGAAAAGCTACAATTCAATTGAATTAATTATAAAAGAAAATCTACATTCATAATACGTTCTCACTTAATATCATACCAAAAAACGGAATCTAAAATTAAAGGTAAAATCACGTAGAATTCAAAACAAGCAAAACCAAAAAAAAAAATTAAATTATTCAATTTTTCCTTATTTAGTACAATGTGGTGGTAATAAGTTCGATGACGACTTTCACCGAATAATAATATTTATAAAAATAATAAAAAACAAAAACGGCAATATAGAAAGATCGTAAAAGGATTTCATTTTTTTTTTAATTCAATCGGAATTTGAAATGGTTTGTGTGCTTTGCAAAGGTTGAAATCAAAGAAAACTAAAAATTTGCCTTTTTCTTGTTTCTTCATTGGAAATTTTAAAAAGAAGGAAATGAGGAAATTGTTTTAAACCAAAAAAAAAATTATTTTTATTGATTAGCAAGCAATAAGGTATACGACGTACGTATGAGTTTAATTTGATTTTCAATTGCTTCGGAATTATATTGAATTTTGTGCTTGAAAACAAAAACAAAAAAAACGAATACAATAATTGGCCAGACAGTTTTTTCTTTTCCAAAATGGTTTACAATATTTTTACACGCGTATACAATCACATACGAACATTAGATACAACAGCATTTGAACATTTCTACACTGTGACAGTAGGAATTTCAGTGGTAGTAAATGTATAACATGATTTTTTATAAAAAGGATTGGTTCGTTAACGCATCCGGTGCAGCAGGTAAACTGCACACCAATTGGCACAAACGTGATGTTTTACTACTACCATCCGCGAACCTTAGGTCGTCATTGAACGCTCGGTTACAGATTGCTTATTCAAGTCATTCGGTTCCTTTGAGAAATTTTTCCAGGTCTCTGATGGCAATATTTTATAGTTCCGTTATGCTTGTCTATACGCACGTGAAAATCTGGCTTAGATCCGGCCACTCACAAGGATAATGAAAAAGTACCGCCCGCTTGTGTATACCCCGGCGGCTGTTAAACCCGTATAAATTGCTGTAAGGTTTACTTTTAAATGAAATTATTTTGAGAGAAAATAGTTCTTACATTTTTTTTACATTTTTAGAAAATTTGTAATTTTGGGGGGAAATTTGCAACTCATGTTATGGAACTGATAATTGTTAATAAAACGATGTAAATTTGAACTACAGGTAGGCTTATCATTTGCAATTACAAGTAGCGGCAGGTATTTAAGTAATAAAAGTAATAGATCATTTAAAAATGTTTAAAAATTTCGCGAAAACCTGTTTTGAGTTTTATTTTTAACAAAATATGGTTACTTATGTAGAAACACGTGTTAATGTCAAATATTGTGAGGCAGAGCTTCTCTAATGTGAGCCATTATTTTTCATAATTGACTTTTTATCATGACAATAATTGAAAACATTTGGTTAAAACATAAAATTTAACTTAATAATCGATTTTAGCCCATGAAAATTGCATTTTAGCTAAAGGTAAATTTTCCATATTTTCATACGAGCAACAGAAAAATAAAAAAATATTTTTATTTTATATTTTTTGGTAAAAATTTCTATGTTTATATAAGTGTGGAAACCAAAATCTAAATTCAAATATGTACATTAAATTTTACAGTTATTTTATAAATTTTACTGTTAGCAATTTTCTAGTTCAATCATCAAAAAAATCTAATTCTATTCTACTCAAATATTGTCTAAGAAAGTAAAAATATAGTAAAGCAACGTTTGAAAGAATTTTTAAAAATTTTACACATTTGATTGTGAGATTTTTATTGAAAACATCATAGTTCAATAGTTAAGAGCATGGGAAATGTATACGAAAGTTATAAACGAATAAAAGAGTATAACAATAACGTTATAGAATAGAAATTTAATATTTAAAAGAAGAAGTTTGAAATTTTAAAAGTTCTAAGACAATATTATTATTGTTTCCATTTTTTTTTATATGTTCATATAAGTTTTTTTCTCTAAATAAAACTTTATTAAAAATATGTAGATGTGGATGAGAAATGAAAAATCGAATACAATAATATAATGGTTTATAAAGTAGCACATTTTCCTTGAACAATTTTTTTTCTCAAACTATTCTCATTGCATACTTTTAGGCTGGGAACAAAGGTAAAACGAAATGTCAACATAATCATTGGATTGGGCACCTAATTAAATGAATTAATATAAAGAATTATATTTTTTTATTTCAAGACATTTAATAGACATTTAGAAAGGTTTACAGTTTCGAAAAAATAAGAAGCTGACATATTGTCATATTTATAATTTATACTCTCTGAGAGAAAAATAATAAATAATGTCAAAAATTCAATCTGCCATCATGACAGTGATTTTGCGTTATAATGACATATTGTGTTGTAATGCAATAGAAGAAGAATTTTCATGATGTCAGAATTTTTATAAAAACACGCCCAGATGGAGCGAAAAAAAATTATAATAAGCACATTTTTCTCAATTATTTTTTGGAAATGTGCTAAAAAATAAAAAAAATCGTTAAAATGTTGTGTATGTTCAGCTGTTTTTCTAAATTTAAGGTTTTATATTACTTGCCATATTATTTTTATTTTTTGCTTTTTCAGAAATTTGTTAAAAAATATTGACTTAAGAAGCAAAAAACTGAAAAAAAAAATAAAACTAAAATATAAAAACTTTAAACTTTCTTAAACTCTGACATCATGTTGTGATTTCATTTAAAACATAAAAGAGAAAGAAAATATTTATGAAATTTGACATTATTGACAAAAATTTGACTCAACATTTAATTGCTTTGAATAAAATAGAGAAAAACAAGCACTTAATTATTTAATATAAAAATTATTTTTTATTTGCTCATTAAACTATGGTGTATTAGAGAATTTTTAAGAAATTCTCTCACTAGTTCATTTAATTTAAGACCCAAACCATCAAATAAAAAATTTTGTAGTTTGGACATTAGTAATACACAATGCAACCATCAAAATTTAATTCAATAAATAAAAAAAATTGACAATTTGATTAAAATTACTATTTGATTTCGAAACATACTAAAAATGCAATAATAATTTTGTACAATATAACCATTCCTTAAGTACATTGATCTCTTATGCCAATTTAAAAAACTTCTTATTAACATAATTAACATAATGATTTTCTTAAATTTTACAAAGAAATATATGATAACGACTTTAACCCATTTAGGAATACAAAAAAAAAAAACTATGGAAGCTAAAGTAAATTAGAAGTTAAATAAAATTAAGGTCGAAAATTATTTAAGTAATTCAAATCAATGTAAAATATTTTATGAGAACATTGTGTACGAACTGAAACCCACAAATGAATATAAAAACATCTGACAACTATTGTAGTTAACTCTAAATAGGACGTATAATGAAGTACAGAAAATAAGAAATAGCTTTGTAAACGGCCAGAACTTGAACAATTTTCAAAAATATTTCAACTAATTTTTCTCTCTTTGGATGAAAATATTTTCTCTCATGCAAATAAATTACTAGCGCTTTAAGCGGCCACAACTTGAACAATTTTCAAAAATATTTTAACTAATTTTTCTCTTTGTGCATGAAAATATCTTCTCTCATGCAAATAAATTACTAGCGCTTTAAGCGGCCAGAACTTGAACAATTTTCAAAAATATTTCAACTAATTTTTTTCTAAAGCAAGAGAATTCTGGCATGTTTTTTCGCATACAAAAATTGTTCGAGATAATTATTGATAAATAAGTAGAATTGAAATCTAAAATATTTTATTATATGATAAAATGTCATACAAATGTCATGTCAAATAGTTTGACAATTTCCGTTCTAAATTTTTCAATCGTCATTTTTTCTTACAATAAATTTTTTAACAATATTTTAAAGATAGCACATTTCATATGTCATTAGACCATTTCTCTTTCTTCTTTTTATTTTTAATGTCAAATAATTTTGATTGTCAATGAACTTAACTTTGTCAGTTTTTTTTTTATCATTTTTTTTTCTCTTTTTCAATTTTGCTTAACAATAACACTTTGAATCTATTTTAATGCTCTTCTTTATTTTCTTTCTTTTAGTATCAAAAATTTACTTGTTGTTTTTTTTTTCTTTTTTAACAAAATTAAAGTAGAAAACCGCGGAAAGTGAGAAAAAAATTGACAAAACGAGAAAAAAAACGACGCTTATCAAAATGTGATGGAACGCCAATTTATAACAAACCGTTTATTTGATATAATTTTTATATGTATAAGAGAATGTGTTTTAAACGCAAACACATTAAATAAAAACCTGAGAAATAATAGAAGAAGAAGAAGCACACAAGAAGAATAACACAATATACGTATACAAAAAAGAAAACAACATTAATTAAATATTGCCTACCTTAAGGTAAAATAATTGACAGAAAGACATTATGAAAAGAAAATACGAAAAAAAAAAAATACAAATTATCTTGCATCTCTTTCTATATTCTTTTTACTTCTTTTCAAAACCAAATCATATTTTGTTATGGTTATTTTATTTTTCTTCTCCTTTTTTTTTTGTTATTTAATTTTATTTGCTTTCAAATTTTATTTCTTTTTTTTATTATTATTCAAAATTCACTTACCTTTTTTTCTTCCTCTTTAGCTTTTTGCAGGTGAGTTTCAATGGCGTCCATATCAATTGATGGTAATGCTGTTTCAATATTGTATACATCAAAACTCGCTATATAAAAATATGAGAAAAAAAAAAGTTATTTAATTTTCAAGAAAAAAAATAATAAACAAAATAGCAAATAAAATAATATTTGATAAAAAAAAAAAATAAAAGCTTTCAAACAATTATTGCGTAAGCGTGCCTCAACTAATTCATTTAAAAACCTACTGACTCAAAAGTAAGTGCAAAAAAAAAAAAATCAATTATGTTAAAAAAAAAGTCAATAAAAAAAGATGAGATGTTAAAAGAGTTTTTCCAATTAGCGGATCGTTTAAAACCTAGTTTTGTAAGCTTAATCTGATGTTAAAAACTTTAGCTAGCAAAATTATAAAATCAAAGTTTGACGTTATTAAACGTAGATCAAATTTCGATTGAATAATCAGAATTTTAGGAAGATACAAAATTAATGTCAAAATATTATTATGCTCCCGGATTTTTAATGTGACTTGCATTCAGAAAAGTTCAATCAATTATCAATAGTAACATCTATGACAGGTTGGATAAACTAGGCTTCAGTTAAGCATGCTTCATGTCAACGAAACTTTTGCTTATAAAAATGTCAAGCTTAACATTAAATTTTAAAGTTCATTTTAATTTCAATAAATCTTCTCAATAAATTTGAACAAAAATTCATTTAATCAAAAACAGAGCAATATCAAAATTGGCAAAATTAAAAAAAAAAAAAGGACATTTTGAATAAAAATTAAGGAGAGGATAGAAAAATTTTGTGTTAAAAATAGAGAACGCGCTCTTTAATAATTCAGTACAATATTGTTAGAGATAGAGATCTTGCAATTTCTTTGATTTCTTAAAACATATACAAAATCTTTAGTTATAATTTCATTTTAAATAGAAAATTAGTCTTTAATTCATTGTTACATCTACACTAAATGATTTCATAAGACCGCCAAATTCTTATAAAATAAATCACGTTTATATTCACAATATTTGACCAAAGTAAAAATTTTCTATAATTATATAAAGTACAATATAATGTAGCCATACAAGAAATAATAGTATTAAATTTTGTAAGATGATTAATTTTAGATTAAAATTAATTTTGAAAATTATTTTAATATTTTTTTAATATTTTTTCTTTATATCCGAAACCCTAAAGAGATAAAAATTATTTTATAAAAACAATACAACAACTTTTGCTTTTATTTTCAATTTATGATAATTAGATAATAAAATTTTATTATTTATTATACATTATTCGAGTATAATTGAATTACATAATATAAAATTACTATGTAGTAGACATGGGTTAAAGAGTAAATATTACAAATACATGATGTAATAAAATAATGTTGAAATTTTCTTGTATGTAGATTAAGATAACGTGGAGAATAAATGTACATATAAGTTTGGAGAGTTTGTTCGTAGGTCGTCATGGTAATAATTTTTTATTCTCTTCTTTTCTTTTTTTTTATTAAATTATAAAATGATTAATTTTATTTTCATTGCTGAGATTTTTTTGTTGTTGCAATGTGAGTTTTGTTTAAATATTTTTTACAATATTTTTTTTTTAATGTTTAACATTCGGTTTTATCCGAATCCTACATATAATTACCGATAATTGAATTTTATTATCACATTTTAAAATTATTATTTCTTTTTTTTAAATAAAAATAATGTATATTATTTCATATTTACAATTTTGTTTTGAAAAAAATTTTTTTTTAAAGAGAAACAACAACAGAGATTATGATTTTCAGTTCAAGATCGCATTATAATAATTTATTTTTTTTCTTTACTTATTAGTTTGCAATAAATGAATCGTGTGACCGTGTCATTTCAATCATAAAATAGTAAACAGATCACATAGACATAATAGTAAAATTTGTGTTATTTATATTATTTATATAATATAAATTTGTACAATACAATTTTATTAACATTTAAAAATTTTAGAAAATATTCTAATCAATGTTAAAAAATCACAATATCATTATGAATTTGATTATCTTAAGTGATAGCCACTCTACTAGCTCATAAAAAAAAACTCAGTTCGTCGGACTTTTCGAATTTTGTATGCCAGAAGACACGGAAAATTCTCTTGCATTAAAAAAAAACAATTATTTACACTACATTAATATTAATTCAAAATGGCAACAGTTTCATGTTTAAAATTCCATTTAATTTTGAATATTCTTTTATTTTTATTTTTAATTTTTAAATATTTAAGGTTAACCAACATTCAAATTTGATGAATTCAAGTGTTTTTTTTCTTTTTATTTTTCATTTTTTTGTTTAAAGATCATACAAATACTCCGCATATGACATTATAAAATAAATATTTGGTAAGAAATAAAGGCGTTTTGTTAAATAAACTGCGTGTGTATGTATGCATACAAACTTATATAATATTTAAATTAGAAAAAATGCAAGCATCTAATCAAATTTTATACATAAATTTCAATATTGCTTGGTTTTTATCTTGCTTTTTTTTATTTCTTTTAAACTTTCATAATAAAATTTTATAATCAAAATCAACCTACACTTTAATATTCGTATTTCATATTTATTTCAGTTTTATTTATATTTTTAGATTTTGAAATAAATTTAAAAATTTGAATTATCTATGCCAGGAAATTATAAAAACAAAAAAAAAACTAAACTGAACTAGGTTTACTAATATGGTAACAATTAATTGATAATAAATTCACGTATAATTATAAATTTATTAAAGTAAACACAAAAAGAAAATATTATTTTTAAATTATTATTAAAGCGATATTTTAATTAGAATTCAATTAACGTCACGATCAAACAGTAAGAAAAAATTTTACTTTATAAAGTTCTTAATAACGATCACTCGCTTCACTTGTACGCTTTTCTACGGTATACCGAAAACAGAGGCGTATAGTTTAATTAAGAATGAAAAAAACAAAATACATTTTTCTTTGAAATATGTACACATGATCGAAAAAAAAAAACCAATAAAAATTCTTATTTCAGTGAGTCAACACTATAAATATGCAAAAAAAAAAAAAAAAAAAACAGAAGAAGAAAGAGGAAAAAAAACGCGAATAAGCTACAAAAGAATTTTGCACATTTTTTTTTCGCTGCTTAATGCCCATCCGAAAATAAAACTAATAACAGCAACAACCTTTCAGAAAAACTAAAAAAAAAAAATATTCACAATGACAATAGAACACATTTTAATAATTACAATCGAAATGATAATTGAAAATAAAAGATTGCTAATTAAAGTCAAGTATCCTTTATGTGTACACTTACATGAATTTGAAGACGATGTTTTTCCATTTTTATTACCACCACTCTTATAAATTCCATTACTGCCGCTATTAATCATATTATTGTTATTATTATAATTACTATTATTATTATTATTATTATTATTATTATGATTATTTAAATTTAATATATATTTTGATGTAACTTCATTGCGAATTGTACGATAACTGTTATCAATTAAAATAGTGCCACCACCGTTGTTACCGTAACCGATATTATTAACGAAACCGCCACCGCCGACGCCGCCAATACTACGATTATTCATATCGTTTATTTTATTATTGTTATTATTATTATTATATTGTTTTGTTAAACTTTTATAAATATCGTGTCGTATAAATTCATCATCATTTGGTATAATTTTTTCTTTTTTTCTTGGTGTTACAATAGCAACGAAACCGTTATCATTAATAGCAGAATTATTATTACCATTAATAGATGTTGTTATTGTTGTTGTATTCTCTTTAAGAATACTATTTTTATTGCTATAATTACGATTATGATGACTATGATGATGATGATGATGGTGATGATGATGACTATGATGATAACGTGATGATGAATGACGATTTGTATGATTTATTGATTGTGATGATGATGATCTATGATTATTATCTTGTTCGATATTATCAATTGATAATTGTGAATTATTATTTCCACAATTATTGGAATTATTGTGAATTTGCTGTTGATTATGATGATGATGATGTTGATTATAATGTTCATTAGTATGCGATGATCGACTATGTAATTTTTTAACAGTTATTTTTGGTGTACCGTTACCGTCATTTGAATTATTAACTGAACGCTGATCTGACTTGTACGATGACAAATTAGCGTTTAAATGATTTTTTCGTGTTTTACGCGTTTCACCCGCATTACAATTATTTCCTGTTGCTGATGTTGTTGTTGTTAATGTTGTTGTTGCTGTTGAATTATAATTATGACTTTTTTCATATTTAATTTTTTGTTCTTCATACCACGGTCGGCTATTTTGTTCAAATACACCTATACCAACTGGTGGTAATTGTCGATCATCATATGAAAATTTTTGATATTTTGATTTAACAGTTGCTGTTGCTTTAATTTGTTGTTGTTGTTGCGATTGTGTTTCGATTTTTTGTTTAGTTTTTTCTTCGTTTTCTTCTTTTGCATCTATTTCTACTTCTGCTTGTTTTTCTTCTTGATTTTTTTGTAAGGTAGCGACACTTGTTAACGTATTTTTTCTTTCTGCTGTTGAATTTTCTGTTATTATTATGTCATTTAATGTTGTTGACTCCAAAATAATTTGTTCACTGACATCAACACTGCTACAAACACTATCGCTATCATTTATTTCATTTATTGTAGTTTTGTTAATACCATTTATTTGTGTATCTTGTACTGCTGCTATTTGTTGTGATGTTGATAAAATTTTATTTTTAGAGAGCTTTTCATTTGCATTTATCTTTGTTGTAGCTGGTGTAGCTTGTATAGTTTCTGTTGCCGCTGTTATTGTTTGATTTGTTTTATTAAAATCTATTTGATTAGCTGATACAGCTGAAACAAATGGATTATTATGACTAACAATATTTGTATATTTTTGTTTTTCGATTTGTCTTTGTTGCTGTTTCAACTGCTGTTGCTTTTGCTGTTGAAGCTCTTGTTGTCGTTTTTGCATTTGTTGCAATTGTTGCTGTAAAAATCGTCTTGGTGGAGGCGGCGGTGGTATTTTCTTAGCTGGTCTTTCCATATTTGATGTGCTTGATACCAGAAGTGAAGGTAACAATTTTTCTTCAATAATTTTTTGCTCTTGATTTTGCTGTTTTTGTTGTATTTGTAATGTTACCTTCAAATCGCTATCTACTGACGATTGTGTTGTTTTAACGCCCCCAAATTTATTTGCTGTTTCCATTAACAAATCACATGGCATATTATTTTGATTGGAATTTAATTTTGCAGTTGATGTCATAATTAAATCTGTTGTTGGATTATTTAAAGTGGCACGTGCAACAACAATATTTGCAACCATTGAAGCTGGTTTTGAGCCATTAATTAAATTCGAACATGATGTTGTATTAATTGATGATTGACCAAAATTAATGTTCTCTTTAGCATCAGACAAATGGGCGTCAGCCATCTATTACATAAAAAAAAATACAAAATTTAAATTAATTTATTGTTTTACATTATTGAGTAAATAATGAAATTGAAAAGATAATAATCTTCAAGTGGAATGAAAGCAGAACAAGTATTTGAAGAACTTTAAAGTATTTGATTTAATTATTGTAGGCACAGATTGAAAGAAAATGAATAAAAAATTATTTCGCTTGAAAAGCGAAAGTTGTTTCATAATTTTTTTTATTGTGAATAATTTTTTAAAATTTAAATGAAAGAAATTTTTAACATTATTCTTTTAAACTGATTGAAAATATTAGACGGGATTAACGCTTTCAGTAGATCAAAAGTTTATGAAAATGACATTTTACATTTTTTTCCAAGTTCTTACAAGGAAAATTTTAAAAAGCATTTCCTGTTCCAAGCAAATCAACTAAAGTTAACGAAATTTAGACAAAACTCAGCTTTTCTGGCTTAATATGAAAGGCCTAAAAAATTGGCCTATGATAACAATAAAATTTCATAAAAAAAAATAATTAAATTTTACCTTTTGTATGAATTTCTTCTCATGGTTTTCAATTCTAGTTGGACTTGGACTTTCATTTCCATTAATCTTTTTAATATTAATCGGTGATGGATCACGATTCATAAGAATTCTTGAATTATAACCAGAAACTAATAATCCAAATTCTCGTTCAACTTCACGACCAAAATCACCAACAATATCAACAGGAGTTGTACCAAAAGAACTGTCTTCCTTTTGTTCGCCACTACGTCGATTATCAATTGAAATATCCGGTATCATTATGCGTGATATTTTTTTATCATCATTACATAACTTTGCGGATGAAGTTATTGGTATACATGAAGACTTTATATTATACGATTCATCAACAATTTTAGTAGACTGGATTGTTTCATCTTGTTGAATTAAATTGAATTTATGATCTTCTAATTTAGTTTCATCATGTAATGATGATTCTTCTGAAGATTGTGATTGTGATCTTAATAAATTTTGATATTCTTCACATGCTGGTGGTTGTGGACTAACATTTCGTAATAAATCAGGTCGATTACCAGTTACTGAATTTTTATGACGTCTAAAATCATTTGCAGAGTTTTTAATTAAAATATCTGGTGTTGGGCAATTACGTGCTTCATCTAATTCATTCTCATTAATTTTGGTGTCTTGCATTTCAAATTTATCTGATTTGATTTGATTTTCTAATGAAGTAGCTTCTTCATGATGTTCAAATTTATTAATTGGTTTCATTTTAATATCAGTTCCCGTCTCATATTTCTTCAAATATGTATCTAAATCACATGATATGTCTTCAACAATATTTGTATTATCATTACTAGAAATAACTCTCTGTTTCTGTTGTTGCATTTCCATTCGCAATTGTAATGATGTTGGTGATGGTGGCGGTGATTTTGTTAATTTCTCATTAATCATTTTATTTCCTTTATCAATTTTATTATAAACTTTTGGTACTTTCTCCTGTGATGTTGTTATTGCTAGTCGTTTTGGACTATCTTTTAAATCGAAACGTTCTTCTAATTTAAGATCATGACATTCAAATGATATGCGAATTTCTGGTAATAAAATCTCTTTATGTTCTCTTATATCTTTTATTTTATTTGTTACTTCCATTAAATTATGATGATATTCATCGTGTTGTGATACAAATTTTGGGCTATTTGTATTAAATTTCATGGTAACATCAGCATTTAGTTTTTTATCATCAAATGATGATGGTGGTACTGGTGGTGGTGATAATGGTGAATCTAATGGTGATGGTAAATCATTTACTAATGGTGATTCAATAATTTGATTTTCTTCTTTTGTTATATTAGTAGCATTATTAAAACCAGCAACAATATCATCATCTATACTTAATTCAACTTCAAATTCTGATAAATCAGAATCGTCTGCATCATTGGGATGATTAACAAAATGTTCGGATAATGTATGAGCTAAATGTTGAAATCCAGGATAATTTGGATTAATAATACCTCTTGGATAATCAGCATTATTAGTACCATTTGATGAATTCGCTGAAGCAAATGATAATGATGGTGATGTTGTATTTGTTACTATTTAAATATAGAAAAAGAAAATTGGAATTTTAATAAATTTTTGAAATTTCTAAAATAAAATCGGCTTTACTAAATTTATAAAAATTATTTATTTGAAATTTAAAACATTTCGACTTGATTTGAAAATTTAATAATTTTATTATTATTTAAAGTGTAAATTTTATTGAATCAAAAATGGATTTGCTTTGCAGCACCCATTTCTCGAATAAGTGCCAAGAACAAGAAAATTTTATGTAAATTTGAATATTGCACATTTTTTCCCCACATGGTAGAAATAAGTTTTATTTGTAACACTGCCATTGTTTTAATTATTATAATGGCAAACTATGTTGCAAACTGAATATTAAATTTATCAAATCATTTCAATTAAATTTAATTTTAATTTTCTGTTTTTGCTTTTATATTTCTTACCTTTTCCATCATCCTCATCATTAGGAAAACTTTTCTCTGATATTGTGCTATCAGATGATACACAACCGGCTGGAGATGAACAACGTCTTTTTGTGCTTATATTATCACTATCCTGATTTTGTATACAATTTTCTACCAAATCATTATTAACATTATCATTATCATCATCAACATCGTCATCATCATCATTATCGCCCTCAATACCAGTATCATTAATATCATTCACATTCTTATTATCATCCTCAATAATATCTTTTATATCATTATTATCAATATCTAAAATATCAGAATTCTTATCAATTTCCATATCTTCACAAATATCATTAATTCTACCATTATCATCATGTAAACTTTTCATTTCAACTGATTCTGTTTCTGAATAGACTTCATTTTCTTCAGGATTTGTAACATTTTTCTCATTATCACCAGCCATTTTATTACTAGTTAATGTTAATGGTCTTGATAATATAATTTTAGGGGATGATATTGTTGTTAATTTTTTATTTATTCCTGATGAATTTTTTATCTTTATTGTAGATTTCTTAGAAGAAGATTTTTTTGCTCCTATTACTGTTCTTCCTTCACTTTCTATTACTATTGATGTTGATGAAGATAATGGTGATGTTGTAGTAAGTTCAACTTGAATTATTCCTCCTGCACCTCTTATTTTATTTGTAGTAAATTCAGTAATTTTATTTGTTAATTTTACTGAATCTCTACGATTATTTAAATTTTTACTTAATGATTCATTCAAATCTTCATTATTTTGTTCTTGGTCATCATCTTCATTATCATTATCAATATTATTTTCATTATTCTCTTTATTTTCAAGCTCTACGTTTTTAGTTTTTCTTTCAATTATAATATTATCATCGTTATCATCACTTATATATTCATTTTCATTTTCATTTTCATCATCATCATCATTATTATCGTTTTCGTTATTTTCGTTACCGTCGACGTTTTTGTTATTAATATTATCTTCGTCGTATTCGTCGTCCACGTCGTCGTCGTCGTCATCAATATCGTCGTCTTCGTCGTCGATTTCTTCTTCAGAACTGGATTGCGATGATGAATCAGAATAATATTGAAGTGATTTTAATTTATTAAAGCCAGTAATAGTTTTTATATTGAAATCCTCAATAGATGAAGGAGATTTTATATCCTAAAATAGAAAAAATTAAAAAAAAATTAAAAAAAATTGAAAGAGCAAAAAATAATACAAAATATTTCAAAGGGTATTTGAATATATATTGAATTAGAAAATGAGTAATTGCGTATTAGGGTAATTTAAAATTTAGAAAATCACAATTGGTACGTTAGCATTAAAAGTGTCATTTATTTGCTTCATATTCCTTTTTCAGGTTTCATGATTTTTTTAATGGATCGGCAATTCTCATTTCTTAACATACCCAAACATACAAACTTTCTAGGTGTATGTCCTTTTTTATTTCAATTACCATTTTTCCCTCCCACAATTTTTTTGAAATAATCTCTATACATTTAAAGATTTTAATAACCTTGGTTAGCCTATTTCTAGTAGAGCATTTTAACACATTATCAAAGAGTGTATTTGAAAGTGCGAAAACAGAAATGCAAAATCACAAGTAGTTTCTTTTAAAGTGTCTCAGCATTTCTTTCAATAGAAAAACTAAACGTGCCAAAGTACTTACAAGAGAGGAATATTAAAAAATGAGTTATTATTTTAATAATTTTGTATTTTGTATAGTTCAAAAAGAAATTTTTTCTTGGTCTTGAATAGCAATACACATGGAATCAATGGTTAATAATTAAACTGAACAACCATTTTCATCTCAATATTCTCACTGAATTATAGCACTTCAAACCAAGTTTTTTGCTATTTATGGAAAAGAAAATGTATTGAAAAATAATTTTAAATACAAAAATTTATTTATGATTCATCACTATTATAAAGGTAGGTGTATGTGTACGATAATAATTGTAAAATTAGTTTTAGAAATATGATTTTAGAATTTCTTTAGTAGAAATATTTAAAATCAAAGGTCATCTAAATTAAATTATATCAAGAGTAAAAGTATGTTAAGGTTTGCAACATAATAATTTTAATTTACACGCGTGTGTCAATAAAATTTTAAAAGAAAAATGAAATAATGAATAAGAGCTGCCTATTATCATAGTCGTGAGTTTATTAATAATTTGTTCTGTAAGCCTATTCCTAATTCCAATTTTTATGCTGTAATATAAAATTTTAATAAAGTCTAATTTAAGAAACCCTTATTTTATTATTATCTGTAATTGAATTAAAGTATAAAAGTTACAAAAGTAAAATTTTTAAATTTATTAGATATTTACATAATATTTTTTTTGTAATTTACGTTTTCATAGAAAAATTCCAAAAGTACTTTAAATGCAAATAAAAAATCATTCTTTTCTTTTAATTTTATTTGACAATATTTTACTTTATTTTTAATTTTGAAAATCAGGAAGAAACCTTATGTCCTTATAGGAGAATTTTTCGTTTTTAAAAATTCAAGTTTAAATTGAAATTGAGATGTTCGAAAAAGCAATAGGGAATACCATTTCGAAAAGGCACTAATTTGAAGTTAATATACAAAAATTGTTCATTAAAATTACAAACAAATAAACTATTAATTAAAAATTTTAATACTATTTAAAATGGAAAATAAATAAAGTATGAGTAAATTTTCGCATACAATTTTTCGAGTCACAAAAATATTGCATATGTTTAGGCGAGCGAATAATTTTTTAGTACATTGATTTCAATAATAAACAAATAAAGTTGGGTCAAACCAATGGTTTGTATTGTAGCACTTTTCCCTTCAACAAGTGAAAATTCTGCTTTTAAATACAGTCTATGTATACCTATCACACTATAAAAATTATTTTCATTCATATACAAAACTATTACTAGGATTGCATATATTTAGGATGACGCATATATGCAGTCTTTGAAATAAAGCAAAAATTAACATAAAAAGGGGTTAACATAATGCTCGATTTTAAGGGTTAATTGTGTGAGTTAAGAAAAATAATTATATTTTTTAGTGTCACGAAATTTACCGTTAGCTTTTTGCGTTTATAAAAATTTGGAAAAGCTTGCGGTTTCGGAAATATAGGGTGTCAAAAATTCAAATTTTACGATTTTCAAGAGGTGATAACTTGAGAGGGGGTGGAGATGGAAAAAAAATTTCTTCTAACGAAATGAACTATTTGTTAATGTCTAAAAGCCCCTAAAATTTCAAAGTTCTAGAATATAGGATCTAGAAGAAAAACGACATCAAAAATTTGGAAAAAAAGGACTTTAGATAACGGTAAATTTCAACGGCCATTTTGTTTTTCTAAAGTTTAACTATAGTATACCGCGCTAGGGGAAGCAAGCCGCTGCCTTTCTGCGTTTGCAAAATTTCAAAAATACTTATGGTTTCATTGCAACAAATATTTAAAAAAGGCCATTTTTATGGTTTTGGGGGGGTATAACTTCTAGAGGGGGGGAGATAGGTAAAAATTTTGTTCTACGAAAATAAGTTTCTAGTAAAGATCTATGTATATATAAAATTTCAGCTTTCTATCTTCAAGGGTGTAGAAGTTTTGTAAACAGACACACGGACAGACGGACGGACGGACGGACGGACGGACGGACGGACGGACAGACGGACGGACGGACGGACGGACAGAGTGAAACTAATAAGCACTTTTTTCAAAAATTTTTTTGGAAAAGTGCTAAAAATTAGTATTAGAAAATTTAAAAATTTCAACCAATTTTGTTTTATTTGAATTTGAATTTTGTTAAACGAAATCATTTAAGTTTTGATTAGGATGTAGTTTTGATAATTAATATAACTGTAATTTTTAGAAATTGAAAGCGACAATATCTTCACATAGCAGCGGAATAAATGGTTATCGTAATCAAAGGAACGAACCAAGATAGAATAATTAAAAATATTTTCTCCTCCCTATAAGTGTAGAACCAGTGGTTTTAAGGCGAATTTTCTTCCAATCTTGTTACAGGGGTATGAAGAAAATAGTGACAGTTTGTTGCCTACACGTTACTTTTTGCAGAGTAATTAAAGTAACATACAAGCATGGGTTACATTCTATTTCTTGATCATCATTGAAATATACAAATACAGGAACTTCTTACTACTTGATATATTTGAAATTTTTGACATAAATAACTACTTAAAAATTGAACATTCACACAACAATTCAAAAAGTGATTGTTTCTTTAATTTTGTTTTTTAGTGAAACAATCACTTTTAAATTTTAATCACATTAAACTTTAAAATTTAATAAAATTAAAGTGTTACCGTTGAAAAATTTTTTTTTCTGTTAAGGTCCAATTTTCTCTTATTAAAATTTTAGAGAACACCATTTTATTTCATTTGAAATTCTTATACTCGTATGTAGCAAAATTTGTAATTTGTCTTAAAAAAAATTTTAACTCTATCTGACATTTTGGTATTCCTACACAAGAGAATTATATTTTATAGACAGACAGAAAATTGAAGTTGAAAATTTCGAATGAAATACAATATAAAAAAATTTGGAAAAAAAAACATTTTAAACAACAAATAAATTTTCCAGCAAAGAAAACAAAAGTAATCAAAATTATTTCTCTGTTTTGTTTATTTTTTATTTTTTTTATTTATTGTTTCAATTATCTCACATGTATCCCTAATGTTTAATACTGAAGATATATATATATATATATATATACGAACACACATATTCTTAATATTTGCTCTTGAAAGATTATAAATAATCAAAATTGTATGTAAGATGTACTTAGAATTGAAAAATACTCTTAGTATGTCTAACAAACAAACGTACTCTTTATAACAATTTTTTTGTTTATTATTTGAATGTGTATGTGTGTGTGTTTGCACGTGTTTACGAAATATGTGTGCATGTACAAGTAAGTGTATAAAAATTTTGAACGTTAATAAAATATTAAAATCGCAACGCATAGAAATCGCTTCGTCGCTTCGTCTCGCTACTTGCATAGAATTCGAAAAGGAAGTAGAAAAAAAAAAACAGAAAAAAAAATTTATAAAAAAAAAAAAACAAAACTTTGTCTGAAATTTAATTTATGATAGGAACATTTTATTTTTACTCCATCTTGAAGTTACAAAGAGCAAAAAATAAGAAAAAAAAAATAAAATAAGAAAATTAAAAGTTGTTGTTGTTGTTAAAACATTTTCAACGATAAAAGTCAAATTTAATATTAGACTTATGTTATAATACTTTAAGAAATATACATATATGAATACAGGGTGTTCTCGATTGCATTTTTTTTCTCAGTTTAATGGGTGAGCTTCATTAAACTTAAGTATGGTGTGTAAAATGAATACTAGTACATAAACATTGGCTTCACTGTTATAAAGGGCATAGGAAAATTCATTTGAAAATTTATTAGGAAATGTTTGTCCAAAATTGGCATTCTTGTAGAATATGGAATTATTATTACAAAGCATTGGAAATTTTATTGGAACATTAATTGGAATATTGGTACATGAACTTTTTTATTTATTATAAGAACAAATTATTAGAAAAATAATTTGAAAATTTATTGGAGCATTGTTTATTGGAAATCATTATTGCAAAAGCATGACTTATAAAAAATTTTTCGGGAAAAGTAAATTTTATTTTGTCAAATTCGAAAAAATTTGTAATTTTGGAATTTTTATTTTAATAAAATACTTATTTTAGCACATTGCGATCGGGAACTCGCACGAGATTTCTCGTTTTTAATAAAATTACGTTGACATCGGGAAACGAGATTTCTCGTTTTTAAAAAAATTACGTTGACATCGGGAAACGAGATGTCGCGCTTTTTGAAAAATTACGTACGCCGTTTGTGCACTTTGCTGATAATTAATATAGTCATCGGAAAACGAAAATATCTCGTTTTTTAAAAAAATTAGACATCGGGAAACGAAAAAATCTCGTTTGTGTACTTCGCTGGTAATTTTTTAACATTTATTTTAGTTCTATTTTTTACCATAATGGATATGTATGATAATATTGAAACACGATATACATGCAAATTCTGTGAAGTACCGTTACACAAAGGAAGCTGTTTCACCAAATATCATACCAAAAACAATACTAATAATACTTATGTACAACATCTAAAAATTTCAATACAATATATTAATTAGA